GTTTATTTGCAGTTAGGGGCGAGCAACAAAATCGTAAGTTGCATATTTTGATAGGGCACGGTCCATAGAATATTTTAAGACCAAAAAGAGCTGAGCAACAAGTTTTTTTACTTAGTTTTTAGCCATCAAAGTCGTAGATAACGGTCGAAGATGCAGTATTTATTAGTGGCATTGTTTACAGAACCTTATATTTCAAAAACTTGTTTACGCTATCTTAAAGCAACAAAAAAGCAACAAATTTTGGTGTATTGTTTTTTTTTTATTTGAGCACTCTATGAGTTTTTTAGTATGTGGTGGGGCTAGAATCTGTGTCAAGCTGGCTTCCCATGCAAAAAAAAATATATAGAGTGCTCAAATCGAATAAACGTTTATACCAGAATTTGTTGCTATTTTGTTGCTTTAAGATAGCGTAAAAACATTTTGGAAATATAACGTTGTTTAAGATGTAGTCAACATAGTGCTATCTATTAGGTATTCGGATATATGTATTTTCTAAAAAAACGTAGGGGGCGTCCACTGCCGTACTGCCGAGTCAATGCCGGATAAAATTCGGACACTGCCTTAGCAATGCTATGCAATACCTCCTGCACTGCCACTGCCACATGTCATTATTACCACTCCCCAACCATTGACGACAATGCCGTCAATATTATAGGCCACTGCTTACTTTTTTCAGTCCACTGCCGAAATTTTGTACACCAATGCCGGCTGTGAATTTCCCCCCAATATAATATAAGTATAATATTTGTAAATAAGTGAATGTACAGTCTATATATAATCGATGATAATCCATTATCGCATTAATATCCATTACCTTTATATCGTATTGTTTCATATTAAATTATTGGCTATAGGGAATTTTTTCCACAAATTTCGATGTCATTTATCATGATTTTCAATTTTCAACGTTATATGTCTCTGTAATTAAGTTCCAAGTTAAAATTACGTTAAAATAATACTTTGCTTGACTACTTGTGAAATTGACTGAGAAATATAATTCTGTTATCCATGAAGCTTTGTTTACGAAAGATTTATTACTTTTTATTCATAAATTATTGATACCAGAGTATTAAACAAAGAATCTGTTATCATTTTAGTAATGATGGAAAATCGCCATTACCTTTATCATGAATGGATTCGCTGTTCCATTTATTTGCAACTCCATATTAGTCGTATTGTAGACTACGCGATTTAATAACACGCAGGAGCATATCAATAATATGTTTATATTTGTTGTATTGGCTGTTTCAAGTCATGGTACGACTACAAACTGCGGTGGGAGCCGAAGGAGTACGGTGGAGTTCACATGTTACACGTGCCGTCCGATCACATATGGCGGCCCGACATAGTTCTCTACAACAAGTGAGTTCATCAGCTGCGTCTTGTTTCGGATTTTGATTATTATGGATACACATTGATCTGGTATATATCGTAGTGGCACAGCATGCTGCCGAGAGAGAAAGAGAGAGAGTGAGAGAGGCAGAGAGAGAAATGGAGAGACACTGGGGGTCGAGCGAACACACGTTTAACACATGGTGGTTTTGCGTGGGACGCGCGATGCAAATTACGATCAGTGTCGAAATATTGTGCACGCGGTTTTTTTTTATTGCACACAATATGACAATCCGCTATATTGATCGCATATGGTGATTTTAATTAAATTTTATACGGTACACGTTATTTTATTTAGGATAAATTGAAATAAAAATAACGATTTATGTGTTTACAGCGATTTGTAACTATTTAATTTAATTTGATTTATCGTAATAATAAATTTCAAGAATCGAAATAACTGCGATTTATCATTCACAATGTTAATTATTTAAATTAGATTGATTATTGTTTTCTTCTTTAATTGCAGCGAAAATAAAATTAGCTTTCTATAACATGTGTATATTTATTTTTTAATTGTTTTTTGTGTAATGTAATTTTACGCTACCGATGAATCTAAATTAATTTAAATTTGTCACCCAATAAATCGATAGCGCATGTGCGTACCGGTATGTAACTGTTTGCGATGAATAATGAAACTAAACGAAAAACGAGTGTCCACTCGACCTCGACAAGAGAGGTACGATTGTCGTGCATATTGCATTTCAAAGTAGGACGGTATATTCGATGCGGGCGGTACAACTCGCGCCGCGGCATCGTTTTGAAAGTTACGGAAAAATGTGAAGCATTTCGATCGGCGGCAATTTTAAGGAAGCTCGTGAATCTTAAAAAATATCTTTAAAATAAGTCTCAATCAGATCATTAATAGTATGTGAAAACCACTTTACGCGCGAGTTTTATTTATTTAGTATCGATTGTATAAAAATGTTGACACGTTAGAAGAAAAAAGTTATGTTAAAATATAACTTATGTAAAATAAGCCGCGTGTAAAATGTTTATATACAAGGACCTTCCCAGTTTTTATGGAGACATAGCTAAATAAAAATTATTTTTTGCAGTAAATGTATTGTGTTTAAGAAAACTATTTATAGGTACTATTAACAATTTTTGAATGCAGTATATAAATGCTGAATGCTGCAAATAAACGCAGTATATAAATTATCGTTTTATTATAGCAGGACTATAGCAGGAACCGATATTCCTCATTAAATAAATATATGCTCATTAAAATGTGAATAATATGCTAAAGTAGCACATTACAATATATAAAGTTTTGTCAATAATCCTACAAATCATACGCTTGAAATATATTCCAGTGAAGTTATAAATATTTTCATGAGCGCAATAAATATGAAGACGAAAGATGAAAATTTATGATGATATAGTAATATGACGAGATACATCAAAAAATTTCTATCTCAAAGATTTCGACGACTCACGTGCTTCCTCCGAGCCTTTGCCGAGTACCGAGTGGCCGTTGAATAAAACATGCGCCGAACGTTCTGCTACTACGGGCAATAACATTATTTATTGCGCAATAAATCGTCCCGAGAGAATTTTTACCATGATAATTGAGACACTTCCGGCACACTCTTACCGGGTAGAACGTTTGGCACGCAGAATTGGCCTCGTAACTGCGAAGAGTTAAAGCCGCGAAATTGCGCGCCCTCTCGCTTGTAATTACATACCGGGCCCTCAACATTCCCCACCGACATTGTCTTCACATATTTGCGTAACTTTTGCCGCTCTTGTCGCCTAACGAACGGGAGCTAACTTTATACGCGAGCTTTTTCGTCAGATTGCCATGGAATTTGTAATTGGACGTACATTATTTCGCAATTAACGCTTTAAATCGCTCTGTCGCCGCGAGTGTCAAAAAATGTAAAGGAACGACTCGTTGATGAATGTCGACGTTCGGGGACGTTAAAGAGATTGGAATGATATAATTTTGGTGTTACAAATGACCCAATATATATTTATTTGCAGCTTACATTACGGTTATAATATTACTTAGTTGACTTATATTATTATAAAATGCGATTGTATTATCGATTAAGAAAAATGTCGAAAAATCGAGTTGTTCGATTACAAATCCTGTGTTAGCTCACGCTCGTGACAGGGATGCGAGCGATGTAGTCATCCCATAGATTATTATTCATATCGCATGAAACATGGGCGCTGCGGCGAAACATTTGCGCGAACGGGCCCCGATAAACGAAGCATCACGACTGCAGGGAATCGCGAAGAAATGTTATGTGCTTCAGAACAGCCTCAATTCTTTCGTTAAATAAACAATTAATCTTACAATCTTTACAATCTTACATATGAATTTATTCGGGATACGATAAATCGAGAAGACAACGCGATTGTGTGTGTGTGTGGGCAATCACTATAAAAAACACACACAATTCTCGATTATATCTCTCGATATTAAACGAAGATTCGTGTCTATTCGTCAAAGCGGTGGTAAAATTGCACGCAGACGATCTTTCGAATCAATATCCCGTTAATTTACCTAAGTGATAAATAAATTTATCGCCTCTGGAAGTATTTATTATTTATTTCATTATTAACATTGCAAAAACATTATTATCGCGATTAATATCTTGTTTGATTATGCATTTAAATGCGTGACAAGATTTTGTAAAATTTAGGAATGAGTTCAAACTTTCCTATTCGTATTGCTCTATTGCTTCCTATTCTATTGCTTGTAATTCAATTTTCTTAATATGCGTATTTTTGTGACGTTTTCCTGCATTTTTTTCTCACTCATCTCTTTCTTTTATATGATGTAACAAAATATTATTATGAGAATAACGGTCAATAATCCTCAAACTGTAAGAATACCCATATTCAATTATGTGAACAGTTGTAGATATATATATATTATCTTTTTATTTATATGAAAAAAGTTGAAATCGACAGGCTCTAATTTCAATCAAAACGGAATGATAGTGATCAAATTCTAATATTAATCGAATGTTTGATTGCTCTGGCGTAATATTCGGAGGTTTTAATAATAGAAATCCATATATATGCCACCAGAGCATTCGATGTTAAACTCAATATCCGAGAGTATTTCTGCTTTTGAAACAGACATAACAGCTTTTACACTTTCCTACTATTATACAGCCGAAAAAAATGATTTTTCCGCTGTATAATAGGCAAAGAAAGAATTCTATCGGTTAAATAATTTACTCAGCATTTTATATCAATTTTAGACCGTTAATAATTTGCGTATAAGTCTGCGCTTTTCTGTATTCGAGGTGAATGCATCGTTGATATCGAATCTACATACCGTATATATAGATCGTGAATATTAAGCACTATGGATATGAAGCGGAAAGTAAACGTTGTCTGTACCTGCTCACGGAATATTTCAAATATCGCGATGTTAAAACGCGCACTTGTTTCCGATACAATATTATTTTTAAAAGAAATTAATCACTCGTCGCGTAGCATTAAACGAGTGTCGTTTGCTTGAAAAACAATTGAATTCAGATAACAATGTATTTCACTCTTTCGAGATTTCTAATATACGAGGAGATATCCAAAAAATTCTTGGAATTATCTTTTAAAAAGTATTTCAAAATGTACTTACAGGTCTGAATTTTTTATCTCCTTTGAAGTGACTCTCCATGTGACTTAATGCAACAATCTCCACCTCCCACTTCAGGAAACATTGTCAAAATTCTTCTTCGGAATGTTATTAAGGACTGCCAGCGATTCTTGAATCTTGTTGAACCAATGTCAGTGAAACGCCTCCCTTTAAGGGGATGCTGGAGCCGTCTGTTTTACCGGCATTTTTTGTCGGCACGTAGCGTCGTATTAATTTGACAGAATTAAAAATCCTTCTCCAGAATTGCAGTACATACATTAATGATTCGGGGAAACTCCGATTTTATATAGAAAACGAGAAAAAATTACGGAAGTACAGATTTCCTTATCCTACTCTTATCCCAATATGGCGTCTCGAGTTGCGGCGAGCTGTCAGCTCGTCACAAGATGTATTTCATATAAGAGATATACCATTGGTACGAACGCGAAAACAAGTTTCCCCGAATTGCACAACAAGAAAAACATCGATAAACCTCCCAAATCAAGATTTGGAAGCGTAATATAAAAGTATAATGTCGGTGTGCATCATGCGTATGTGTGCGTGCAATGTAGCGTGCTATCCTTGTCTATATCTTTGTCTATACAAGGACAGATATAGTTCGCCGGTCTTCTTTACCGACGCCGATCGAGTTCGGCTACGGCTCCAGCATCCCCTTAAGTTGCTACTTCATTCGTGGATATAAGAAAAAAATTGCAAGAGGCGATTCGAGGTCGTCGCGTGAGTAGGGCGGGTGGGACACAGTTATCATTTTATTTTTAGCAAAAAATTGGTGAACGCTCGAGGCCGTATGGACAGAGGCATTGTCGTGATGCAGGAACCAATCGCCACTTTTCCACTTTTCAGAAAATTTTTGTATGTTTTTATGCAATTGTTTTAGTGCATTCAAATAATATTGCTGATTTATGGTTTGTAAAAACGAGGTTCAACGAGAATCGCTGGCAGCTCTTAACAGGATTCGGGGAGAAGAATTTAAATAGTGTTTCCTGAAGTGAAAGGGGATTGTTGCATTAATGATTGTGTTACATTTGAAGTACTCTTTATAAATTATATGGGAAGTACTTCGAAGATGATTGAAGCTTCAAACCTGCAAGTACACTTCAAATATTTTTTAAAAAATAATTCCGAGAACTATTGTGTACCTCTTCGTGCATACAAATTTTTAAACGTTTTTTAAACGAAGTTGATGTTAATGACAAACAATCCTAATAATAATCTAATAGTGGAGAGCATCTACGAAAATACTATTTCCACCTTTTATTAGTATGAAAATATTTGTGCCATTAATGAATTGAAGGGCAAAATATTTTTTCTTTTCTTAGTAATAGCACGTCGTTTAGTAAAAACACAGTCT